GATACACACTATATAGTATATACATTTTTGACAAACAAACTTTTTATTTTTTAATGTTTTTAATTATTAATAAAAATTTTGAAATTTTGAACTTTTGATAAATAATAAAATAAATCTATATATTAAAATAATTAATAAAAATAATGCTGCTAAAAATTGTTTTTCAAATGAAATGAGTATCCTCATTATTGACATACGCGTATATCGCACTTTTTAATATTATAAAGTTGACCTTTGATGTGATCGCCGCATGTTATTTATATACGTAACGTGTACAAACTACCTAGTCCTAGTGATTAAAATAATATAATAGACATATAGTTACATAAATTATAATAATACTACACTATATGGATATAATCGAAAGAAGAAAACGCCGCCAAGTTTAAAAAACTTTTAATTTATTTGAATTTTTCTACGGTTAGAGATCGTTTGATAGACAATTGACGGCTGGTTTCCGCATATAGTCATCATGTGTTTGTTTCCGGGTGATCGTGACGTACCGATACCAAAATTTACTTAACTGTTCTTGTTTTTTTTTACAGTGATTTGTCTTTCAAGTTAATAAATTTTATCTAAATACAAATTAAAAAATAGTACAGTTTTCAATACCAATGAACAAAATATTCAACTTTTTTGATTTATGTTAATGCAATTTTGGTTTTTCATACGTTTTTCTAATAAAAGTTCAATTTATTGTCATCTGAAGTTTAAATAATAATGAAATTAGAAATCTACTTAAATTTATAGATTTTAGCAGTTTTTCTACTAAAGTTTTTAGTTATTTTGTAGTATTTAAAGAATATTATTAATTATAGGAACTTATTGAAACTTTTGGAAAGGTATTATGTATATTATTATTTTCTATACATAATAAAATATTCAAAAGATTTAAACTCATTTTAAACTATTTATATTACAAACCTATTTTTCCCATTATACGATACAACATATTGACTTACCAATTATTGGCAAATGGCAATATTATAGTATCTAATTAACAACATGAACACATAAATAATCTGATATTTTTGTCAATTCTTACGAGTAGTTCTTTATATTATATTATTTATAAAATGATGAATAACTAATAGTTATTTGAATATTATGTAAAATATCTTTCCGTTCAGAATAATTTTTCGTTTACAATTATTATTAAATCAAAGTTTAACACATCCGTTTTAGTATCTTACTCATTAACATAGTACACTTGTTATTAATTATATAGCAGAGCTATTTTTCCAGTGTTTTAAATATAATAACTTAAAAATAAAAATAATCTTTTATAGATAACAAATCTACCTCTGCCCGTTCAAATATTTCTGATTAAATAAATGTATAAAAATAAGCAAGATTTAGTAAATTTCTAAAATTCTTAGAATATTTTTTATTCTAAATTACTAATAATTACAATAAGAAGTATAAAATGTATTTTTTACACTCTATATATATTTGTCATTTTTGTTAAATAACTATACGTGATACAAATAAAGTAAACAAATTATTTTAGTTTAATCTACTACACTCATAAGATATAAATTACATTTTAAAATTATAATTTTTTTTTTTTTAGTATACTTTTTTATTTTTTGACATCATTATTGCCTTATGAATAATAGTATTAACAATATTTAATTATTCAGTTAAACATTTTAGCATTAGCACTCTATTTTTTTTAAAATAAATATTTTGAGAAATATGTTTGCAAAAATCATTAGTCTACTTTAGCATTAAATATTTAAGGTATTGCAAGCAACACATGATGTATATTGTATACAAATTAGATACTTATAATTTATCATAATTAAGTTACATTTAATAAATTGGGTTTGAAAAGTTCTATTATGCCTTAATTATATTGGATGCGTTGGCCTTATTTAAAAAAAAAAATATCTATAGATAACCTACTACACTAATAACCTACATTTTAATTATATATTTTTAGTTATTTATAATATTATTTCCATATTTCATAATTTATTAAATGTGAATTAATAATTATATGTTACGTCAATTTATTGCGTTTATCCACGTTAGTAATATTTACTACAATTTTAGTTGATTATTTTTTAAACATGTCAGTTTATAAATTATTTAAAAATATAAAGTGACTTAATCATTAAAACGCAATTTATATTATTCATCAGCAGAACTCATAAGATATTGTTCTCAAAAATGCCTAAATAAGCATGTAATTATACCTACACTAAAAACTAGCAAGTATGCATTGAAATATGCTTTAAAAATTTTAGAAATATGTATTTATATGAACTAAAAATATAAAACTATGTACTATTTAAAAAAAAAAATAAAAACAGAAATAGTCGAAAAAACTATTGTAAAAGTATCAAAAAAATGTACACTTATTTACGTACCACATTAATTAATGACTGCTGCGTTTTATTTTTAATAACTTTAAGGTTGTGACAATTTCCATATATTTTATACAAAGCAAAAATATAAATTATTGCATTTTTCATCAAATGATGTCCAAAAATAAGCTAAAAATGCCTAATAAAATAAAAAAACGCATAAATATACCAAATAGGCAAAAAACCTCTAAATATGAAAAAAATATGCGAAATAAAACTTCACATTCTTAACCATGGAACCTTATCTCAAAATTGATTTCTATGACATCTAGTACTAAATACGACTTAGCAATATTGATATGTAAAATACACGAACTCATGAGCCATGTCCATCAATCAGTGTATCGTATAAATATTATAATAGATATAAATGATATAATAAATCAAATAATTGAATGTCAGCGTGTTTATAGATATTTTATCTATACGTAATTTAAAATCTTTTCTTTATAAATTTATAAAAATATATTAATTTCTTAAAATGTTAAATTTTAAACTAATATATACATACATTTTAACTCTGATAAATAATTTACTTACGTTTAAGTAATTGAGTAAGAAAACAATAACGTTGACAATTTATTACAATCGTTAGTAAAGTACGTAACTGGTATATTTTTTAAATAACTGCTATAAAATACATAATTGAAATCGCTTCTCTTTATTGATTATCCATTTATTCATTGTTTCTTGTTTTTTTTTTTTTTTTTACTACTTACGGGCTATACGTTGAAAAATATATAGGTACTGCCTGATAGTTTATGACATAATATTATTTATTCATCTGTGCAAATATAATATATATAGGTACTACAGGCTACAGCCTACAGTCTAAACCATAATAATTATATAATACGTACCAAAAGACAAAATATAAAACATAAAATAAAAAATGTTAACCCGATTTTAATTAAGTTAAGTAATTTATAATACTTAAACAATTTTTCTTTATTGTAATTAGGTAGGTCAATACCTAAAATGAAGAACATACTAACACAATTCCTGGTTTTAGTGTGATTTAAAATGTAACGATAAAATTCGAAAAATAGATTGAAGACTTTAAAATCTTATATATACTTATACTATTAATATCCTTTGTAGTTAATCGGTTAGACCTTAAAAAGCTTACTCTGTTAATGCAATATTTGTCCTAGTTAAGACCTTTGCACGCATTTCCTGAAACTATAAATTTTCCCCAAACCCCGAACATAATATGAAATCTAAATAAACTAACATTATATTACTTTAATATATCTAAACAAATAGTTATCTATTACTCTAAAAAAAATAATAAAAATAATGTTGTGAGAAAATATTTGTAAGATTATTATACAAAATAGGCAAAACAAATTCCATTACTAAAATTTTAATAGTACTAATATAATAATTAAAAACTTATTTATCTATTTAGTTATTGTACATGAATTTTGAGTTTCCGAATATTCTTTTTTCGATAATAAATATCGTACAATGTATGTTAAAACTCACAAATTATGTATTCTTGTATTAATAATTAATAGGTATCTAATAATGACTCAACAACAAAATAACATGCAAATGATAGTTTTATGATAATTAATTTGTTTTAAAATTTTTCAAAGCTTATGACTAAAACATAAATATTTGTTAAGTACGTGCAATTGAAAATCATTATTAAGTATTTAAGTTTTATTTTATAATTCAAAAAATATTTGTAGTTACAAATTTTAAAGTATTACAAATATAATATTTGATTTTCATCGTCAAGCTCATTTTATAATTCAACAATAATTATTTATAAAAATTGTTTTTGATTTTAAATCAAAAATAAATGTAGAAGTTTTTCATTATATATTTATATCTATAGACAATAATTACTTAAGAAATATTAAATTTGAAACAAAATACTATGAATTAATTAACGATAATTTTTAATAGATGCTCAACTTGTGATACACAATAGTAATTTCTTAAAGATTAAACAAATTAATAATTCTATCTCATGATTTCCAGTATGTTTGAAATATCTTCATTATTAAAAATCATATTTTATTATACATTAATACTAATGAGAAATAAATTACAATTTTATTAACGTTCATCGATTATTATAATAATCCTAAATGAACAAATATAATATATTTTATTGTGTGTTAATTCTACCTATTATATGAAAAATGTTTTGTTTAAATAAAGCGTGTGATATAATCTATATTATTATTTATAATTCTCTAATTTATCGCAAATAAATAGGTTACATAAAAATGTTTAAAAAAAAAATGGGTAGTCTATTTAAACACAATATATTGACTTAACAATTTAATATAAAATTTGATTATGTATTATATTACAGTTGAAGTCACAAAATAACATGCCAATGAGACTCGAACTGCCTAAGACTATCGTAAACTCACAACAATATTGGCATAAATAACAACGTGGTCTATTCTACTATTCTACTGTTTTATATTTGAATGCATTCAGCAGCTACAATCGGTAAGGGTTTACCGTAAAAAAAAAAAAAAAAAACAAAAAGTAAAACAATTTTAGCAACAATATAATACGTAATAAATACCTAACGTAGATACCTACGAAATAAAAAATAATTGTACAGAATATCAACGTGACTACATGCTCAACGGATTTTACCTCAAAACGCGCGATCGGTTTAATAATCTGTTGATCTGTCGGCGAGACACCGCGACGTGATAGTACAACGTGTGACTATAGGGTACGAGACGGCGTTTCGCGGAGTAGTGACGAGTGAGAGAAGAGTGAGAGAGGAGTGATACGAGCGCCGCAGTGAGAGAGTCGTCGCGTGGCGGTTTCGAGTACACCACCGGCGTGATAGGGACAGGAGCCAAAATATAATAATAATAGTAATAATAATAATAATAATAATAATAATAACTCGAGTAGTACGCGCGTACTATATAGCGTATAATAGTGCAGCTGTGGTTGTGACGGCGATGGAGGTGGTGGCGGCGACGGCGGCGTCGGCGGCTCTAGTGGAGGGCGGTGGTCTACTAGTGGTGGCGTACTACTGGCGGCGGTGTTTCGATGATAAGCAGCGTCGTAGTACTACGCGCTGGCCTGACGTCCGGACGCTGCAGGGATCCGCGGGCCGGGCGCGAACAGGGTAGTCATGACTACGCCAGGGCGTCTGTGCTGCCGTCGGCCCGATACGACCTTGGCCGGGATTGATTGCACGATTCTCCTTAACGGGGGCGCCACGGAAATCCCTTTCACCGCTGCCGCCACCACCGCCGCAAAGAGGCTTTTTTTGATTGCCACCCGCGCGCGCATATGTGTGCGTGTTTTTCGATCGGTATATCACCCACCAGTCACCACCCCGTTGCCGGACCCGACAGCGAGACTTGAGATTCAGCTCGTATATATTGTATTTACGTGCGCAATCAATCACGTGCAGCAGCAGCACGCAAACACCGTAATCATATACGCACCCCGCCCGACCCCGGATCGCCTGCCATCACGCCGACCAGCTCGATCGTGGAGAAAATTTACAACGTTCGTGACAACGGGCGGACAGACCGCCGCCGCCATCGATAATACATAGCGCGTTGTCCGGCTACACAGTTTCCAGTCGAATGGTGAACACGGACGTGCTGCGACGATCGCGCCCAATATAAAACATATACCTAACACCGCCCCAGCTTAACGCCAAGAAAAAAGTCTCCCGATCCACTTAAAAATTATTGGAAAAATAATTTCAATATTTTCCTTAGAGAAACATTTCCTTTTTTCGTTTTTAGTTAAAAATAAATTAGAGAATATAAATAGAAAAAACGCCACATGATATAGGACTATTATTAACAAATTATTTTGTAAACTTTTCCCCCCCTCCACTCGCCAATAATTACACCAGATTTATAATGATGGATGATAATGCACTTGCGCGTGTTAGCGAGCGAGCAGAAATCGCGTTCAGAGTGAATTTACGCGATTCCGTGATGTATTATGAACTATTATAGATACATTAATGCATATTATGCGGCATTATAACTCGCGATTAGCGTTAAACCATTTATATTACACTGGTGTACCAGTCCCCGACACAGTGTTGGGGTAATGTGAACTTTACAATCGTCACACGTTGCACGATTCAAATCGACGGGATGACACACACGCCCATATCGCCGCCCGTTGTCGACCTGTTGATCCCCGTGTCATCATCCCCGATTATGACAAACGATGACAAACTCGTGCACCTGACAATATAGCATTATAATATTATCATAATTCATAACCATGTATTTAAATCGTATGTTACTACCCGTGAAATACCGAGACGTGTAGTCCGCGTGACTGATACCTATACTCCTATAGTCCTGCAGTCCGGTATAATATTATATCGTTGGAAATACGAAAAAAAAATGTCGGATCTCTATTTGTTTTCAAATTAAGTAATGTTCAACATTTATTGTACAGAGTTACTTCAAACTTAAACATTTTCTTTTTTTTTTTTTTTTGTATGAATTGCTTTAAATTTAGTATCTATTTATTATCATTTTTAATTTAATTTATTAGCTATAGTAAAATAATCAAATACACAAATAATTTTATTTAAAAATAAATTAATTAATAATAGAGCAACTTAAGACAATTATCTTACAATAACGATAAATTATAATTTATTTTATCATTACCAACCTAAATAATGTAATTTGTTCATTAGTCATTTTCAAACAATTAATAATTAAATTGAATGAGATTCGTACAAATCAATTAATATCCGACTTAAAAATGAACATATTAATGATTCAGTAGTAATAATTTAAATAATTATTATCTATCATACACGTGTAAATCACTAGTTTTACGTATTATCTATAATTAACAATTATAAAAATAAAATAAGTTTGTTTATGTTTAAATATTTATAAAATCGATTTATATAAACGAGACTGTCGTGAGTGACTGATTTATAATCAACACAGAACCGAATTTATTAAAGCTATATCGATTGGAAATTTTGAGGGTAAATTAATATCATAATTTCACCGTGCACTAAGAAATGGTTTTTCAAAATTTTAATTTTAAGGGGTTGATATCGGCAAAAAACAAAATTATACGTATAAATTTGATACTTATGTACATCGATGAGTCAGCGCTTTAAGTCGTGAGCTTATATTTTTAGGTTCTTTTTTACGAGGAAAATTTTAAGTGGCATGCTCCAGAATCAGTATGTCCACAAGTTTAATAATTTTGGCACCAAATAGAATTACATTAAATGTAGTTTATAAAGAAGTTTTATTATAAAATTGTTGTTATAAATTATTATTTTTTTTATAATATACCTATTAAAATTTTGCGGGAAAAACAGTGACGGGTAATTTACTAGTCGATGTATATAGATGTACAATTTACATGTAAAATTTTGTTTTTTGCTGATTTCAACCCCTTAAAATCAAAATTTCGAAAAATCATTCCTTAGTACACGGTGAAAATATAATATTTATCTACCCTTAAAATTTCTAATCAATAGCTCTAATAGGTTCGGCTCTGCGTTGATTATAAATTTTGTTTCAAGACAATTTCGTTTATAATTTATAATTTATATACATACAAAAATAATCAATTATTAAAATTTATCATAATTTTTATTATTTTAGTTCTTACAATAGTTTTAAAATAAATACACAATAAATTATGGTTTTTTAAGAAATTCTAAAAAAATAAAAATTGAATAAATTATATTTAATATTGTTGTTAATAAAAACTTAATTGGTATGTAAATCAGTAATTCAGTAATTTATTCAGTAGTGTGCGCAGTGTACCTACTGAGTGCAAGTCAATACTTATAGTTAAAAATATACAAGGAACATGTTTCCAAATCCCCTTTAAGCATAGAGCTCGTTTTTTTTTTTTTTTTTTTGGAGGTCAGGGAGGGGTATAAGTTCAAGTTTAATACATTGTAAAGAACAATAAAATAAATAAATTATAACACTAGTGAATATTTTAGATAATTTTAAATAGAAAGTATAATAATTATTAACATTTAATTTTTAAAGTTGTTATAAAAAAATCAATAATTGAAAAATCTAAAGTTTTATTAATAAATGATTTAAATTTACAAACATTATTATAGTTATGAATATTGTTATTAAATGATCTACATATTTTATATTAACTTTATATTTTAAATACCGTGATACATCGGCTAATTTATATATTATAGGTAGTATTATTTATTATATTATATTTAAAATTTAAATTTTATTGGGATCTATAACGCCCTCTCATATTTAATATACGTCGATCTCCTTTCACTTTCAAATTTTAAACCTGGACAAAGAGTACATTGTAAGTACATTGTACATCCACTTCAAACAGTTATCAATATTTAAACATTTAATTTCAATAACCGGTTAAAGAGACAAGGTTAATTATTTATTATTATAATTTTTTTACTATACAATTTTTAACTTAGCAATTCGCTACAATATGAACAATAAGTTGTTTATGAACAATAACTAACAATCAACCCAGATGTTTATTAAAATAAACATAATTATACCTGATCAATAATTACCATAATAATCTTCCATATTACCATTTTTTTAGTATTTTAATTATATTAGGTATCCTTTTTAACAATAAATACTCATTAATTATTATCTTAAAATGAACGTTTCGTTAATAAAGTAGTTTTGTAGTTAGTTTAAATAATTTAAGTACAAATATTTTCTAAAACTTTATACTTTTTGAGATTTATGTTATATATTGTAGATACCTATAAATTTTGATCGTTATAAAAACGGTTTATTCGTAATTATTCTGTTTAATGAATTCCTAAACTATTTCCCAAGTTCCTATCTAAAATATTTAGTCAGTGAACTATAAATAATTTATACTTTTTTATTAAATAATATACTACGTTTATGTAAACTTAGTTAAAGTACCTTATCAAGTATAATGCTGTTATTTTCAAGAAATTTAGTATATTTATATACTATTATGTGCTGGCTTATAAGATTAATATAGAAATATTAAATTAAACAGAAATATTAAATATAAAATTAATCTTTAGTTTTCTTTTTAATATATTTTATATTCTTGTATAATAATATAAAAAGCTGCTACTAATCAGAACATAAATATTGTATACAAAATAATAATTAAATTACACCTAAATCGATTCTGAATCACAATAAAAAAATGTACTTGTAAAACAATGTATCAATACCGGAGTAATATAAAAAATTTGATTGTTTTTCAGATTGAGAGTGCGGCTTTTATCATTATAAAGGCTATTTTAAATACTAGATACGACTTTAGGTTTCGGACAATCAATCTGTTAATAGTTTACGTATCGTCGTATTTGTTAACTGTTAATCTATTTTTAAGTAATCCATAAAAAAAATTGATAATTAACAAATATAATACATAAATCTATCCTAATTTCCAAGTGTTTCAAATAAAATAATATACGACTTCTTATACCATAATATATGTTTTAAATTTATTGTAATTATTTTTAATTATGTAATATGCAAGTTACCTATTCACTATTTAAAACATTAACAATAATTACTCTGTTATTTATTATAATTTTTAAATAAATTATACTGACAGGCGTTAATGATTATTGATTTCTTATTGAATTATATTGAAGTCCGCATAAATCATAGAGGGTTCGAGGTGAATTGATCGCGAACAATTGATTGCCGGTGAATTGATCGCCAGTGAATTGATCGCGAATACAATTGGTCGCCAAGATAATTGATCGCCAAACGAACTTTTTTAGTTTTTTAAGTATTTTATTTTAAATTTTCATTATCGAG